TTAAAATATCACTGCAATTGATTTGCCCTCAGAACGGATAACGGAATTAGGCGCAATTTCTATGAGATTTTCAAAACCATTTTGGAAAGTACTTGAGTAATTAGGGAATCCTGAGGAGAATTTTAAAACAATCCTAACCTCACCTACAAAGCAGTTCAAAGGGAATTATCGGATGAGTTTGAGAAGAGCGTGACGGACTGAAGAGTGTACCAAGGAAATTATTAAGAATGTTAAAAGAATTTCATAGAGAAAAATGGACACAAAATTGTGCTAATTCTTGGGAATTATAACCAGTTTTAGGGAATTGTGGAATTGGAGAGAGATTTATAAGAGATAACAAGAGGTACGTACTTAGAATGTTACTGGAAAAGTTTGGATATAATCAAGATTATTTTAGGGGAATATAGAAAAGAAGTATGATGGTATTCTAGGATGAATCGAATGGAACTAAAAAAAAAGGGCGAACATATCCTGTGAAGAGTTCCAAGTAAATTCAGACTTGCCCCGTAACGTGGGTAGATCACCTTTTCGTGGTACGTTACGGGATGTAAGATCTACCACCGATTCCTAGTCCTAACTTCTTCAAACTAGGGGAACAGGATTTTTCAGTAATCAAAGGAACACATCTTAGTCCTTTGTACTTTTTATGCCTTGTTGATAGTGATAAGTCCTCGGGTTGCCTGGACCGAGGATGATCTTGAAACAAGGAAAAAATGAGTTAGTTAGTCTTCACCTATGTGATTCCTAATCTTCTAATCGTTGTTCCCTAGTTTGAAGTGGTTAAGACTAGGGTTCTGATGCATGGTCATTATCGGTGTCATAGCTTGTTTTTGTTGTTAAGGAATCCAATTTTGACTGACAAAGGGGCGCGCCTTTGGAGGGTGTTCCAACTCCGAAGGGTATAAATAGCGGAACCTTTCAGTTAGAATCAATTCCTTGCGATGAAGGCAAGAATGACAACTGTATCAAAACCGAATACTTCATCATTTCTCAATAGTGATGGAGTAATACGACATGCACTAAACTAAGGACACGGGATATACTACAATAGATCAAATTACTGGTCGCAGTGGTGTTATGTCCCGAACAGAGGAAAAAAAATTCAGACTTACAAACAATTTCATGGAATTTAAAATCATTTCAAGATCCTGTGACCTTAAACATGAAGCTATCAGACTTTCATTTTAGTAAATTATTCTTCCCCGAGCATGTCCCTTTCTAAGAAATCTCTGGTTCTAAATTTCGCATAGAATACGAACTTTTTTGTACGCCTCAGCTAGTAGGATGAATCTCTCTGATTTGGTATTGTGTATTTGGAATGACTACCAAATTAGATAGAAATATCTCTCATCAGCTATCAGTCAATAATTGACGTGATAATTATTATCCGCTCTTTCATTCGTACACAGTTGCAGGTATTCTAGCTTGTTCTAGAGGCTAAATTGTCTGTATTTTCAATGTCCCAATTGCAAGAGTGAGTGCTACTTCCATGTCCCGATCTGTTTTCTGTAGAATCCTACCGATTGCTGGAGGGAGATGCCTCCTTCAGAAAATAAATCAACAAAAACAAAAAGGGCACCAAACGAATGTAAACATTCTTGGCTCTAGGCAGTGCTGTAAGAAAAGATCGAAAAATTGGTTCTCATGGTGGTTTAAGAGTGTTTCGGTGTGTTGAAGAGTGTTTTTGATGTGTTTAACACAAGGTGGCAGAGTGACTTACCCCCTGAATAAGGACTACATCGACTATTAGTTTAAAAAAATCCATCCCATCGAATTTGCTTGATTCTTTGCTTCTCATTCTTTTTAAAAAAAGTTATAATTAAAAAAAAACAACGCTAAAAATATTTTCTTCAGTATTGAAGTCTACCTACTTTTAATTCAATCTTTGAAATGCTGCGTAATGGATATCTTTAACTTTTTGGGCAAACTGTGTCAATAATTTTCAACTTTTATATTTTAACTGGTCCAGATTTTTCTGAAAATGACCTGGCAACGCTGATCAGGATAAAACCTACGCTCTTCTGGTCAGTACGCAAAAATGGTTGGACTATATAACCGAACAACAACATTACACTAACGATTGTCCACGTACCGGCGACGACTGCCATAATGATAACATTAAGAAATTGGCAGCTGCGAAAACTTACACATAGAATTATCTACTCGTAAGGCTCAACCATGATTTTAAAGGATAAAGCATTACGGAACAATTACTGTACATATTTTAAGCGATCTCGACCAAACTATATTGTGTTTTTAAATCAATTCGTAGATTCAATGCGCCACGACCCGACTAAGGTTCATAAACAAATCAGCAATGTAGGTCACAAACTTTTGCACAAACGCTATTGGCTTTCACCACAATATTTCTCGAACACCCAAGTGAGCCGTTGGTCGAACACAAACATGCACTACCGGCCGTGACAACCATCAGCATTCAACCACGGTCCTCATGATCGTGTTAAGGAGAATCCATACGCACACAACAACACATCAAAATATAATCACGTTTCAACATAAACAAAACCTCTCAAATAATGGGTTGTTAAGAACCATTACCATTCAAAATAGTTCTTTTCTCCATACATTTTATTTTTGGAGACAGGACTATATTAGAGCCTTTTTACTTATGGTTTGAGAACTTTAATTGTAATGGGTATGGTAGCCAGTATGGTCCATTTTTGGATTTGTATTATCGGTCAACTTTACGTGGAATATTTCACGAATTGGTAATCAGTTTACAACCAGTTCGCGATATATTCCACATAAAGTTGATGGATGTTACAAAACCATCTATGAACCTTACCGACTACCACAACCATTACCATTAAAGTTCTCAAATCATAAATTAAATGGTTCCAATATAATTCCTTTCGCAAAAATGTTTGGAGAAAACAAGAATTTTGAATGGTAATGGTTCTTAACAACCCATTATTTGTAAGGTTCACTTAGGAAACATAATACATAAGGCTAAAACTTTATCACGCAAACGTTCATGTAAAGTTCCATAACCATTTCAGTTAGCGGTGCCGGTGGTGTAGTGGTAAGCGTGATTACCTCTCACCCCAGCAGGCCTGGGTTCAATCCCAGTCGGCGCCGCCGGGATGTTCTGAGGCATAACATCTCTGATCACGCCTTCCTTCGGATGGGAAGTAAAGCCGTTGGTCTCCGGTTCATAAGTTGATGGGTCGATAGGTAGGATCCAGGTGTGGGAGCTACCTTTTTGGCGTCAGTAGCATTGGTGCTCAGCACGGAAAATAAATCAAGGAAAAAATCGACTTAGGGAGGTTAAAAAATACATGGGGAAATAAACCAAAAAACCATTGAGTAAAAGAGGCATCGAGTTAGAGAAATATCGTGTTAAGGAGAGACACATGCTTGCAAAATTTAAGGGATTTTGAAAATCATTGAGTTAGGGAACATATCAAGATACCGAATATCAAGAAGTGATGGCATATTCCTCACTCAAAGGTTTTTTTTTTTGCTCTCAAGGGCTCCCAATATCACGCGTAATATTGGAATAAAATATAATGCATGATATTGATTTTACGAGCTCGTTTGATATTGCGAGACTATTCACAACATGCTAAATTGTACCTACGAGTACACTGATTCCGTTGCACATCGTCTTCTAAGAAAGAGAAGCACAGTTTGCTATCTCTCTTTACCCTTCACAGATGGCAGACACGAAGCTACAGCTGCCAGCAGTTATGGACGTTTCGCATCGTTTTCAAGTGTTCAGCAAAAATCTTGAAGCTCAAACTCACCACAGTTTGGTGATAATTGTAGCTGGGGAGTTTTGCTAGCAAGATACCAGAGCTACCGTATCACAGTTTGTACTATCAACCGCTGTTGTTTGCTAGTTGAGCTTTGTTTACGATAATCAAATGAGATCATGCTCCTTGGTCCTATTTTTCCAACACTAATATTGAGTAAGGGAGAGTAAAGGAGTTAACTGTATTTTTAAAATCAATACCGGTGCACAGTCAGTAAAATCTAAAATAAAGTTTTTATTAAATGATTAAAGCAACTATTATACCACGGATACACTTGTATGACCTACTATGAGCATGAGCATAATTTGTATAATAATTATGAGCACTGTACAACAACTCTACACAAACTATTCAAGTGAGACCATGGATGTGCTTATAATGTATTAAACAAATATTGCTCATGCTCATAGATTGTCATGCAAGTCTATCCGCGACATTAGTACCATAAGTACCAAAGAATTTTAAAACAAGGAATCCGGATTTACGAACTATTATTCACAGAAAAGCCTTTATAACTTCTACCATGTAAAATAATGTATCCATTAAATTGTTTCCCTATCTTCGATCTTAGACCCAATTGAAATTCTTAGCAATCGTAGAACATTAACTCTAAAAAATAGCTTCCTATTAAGTACCATTGAGTCACCTACCAAACTACCGGACCGGGCAACAAACTAACCGTCAACAATGAATCTCCTGCAAGAAGCGTGAACCGGAAAGGGAACCCAAAAAAACATTCGCCTCTACTTGCCAATTTATTAGCCACCCACACCCGGCCCAAACCGGGCACAATATATTATGGAGCTCGTACCACTCTAGAGAAGCTGGTGTGTTCGTCGGCGGTGTGTTAGAAGGCAACGTGCCGAAACTGTTGCTCGTTTTTTTATGGGCTTGCATGTCTAGCTAACAGCTAAAGCGAAAACCGGCCGTTGCCAGTTTTGGCGAAGAAGTAAGAAATCTGGCGCAACAGAGCCTTAATAACTTATGACCCTCCACGAACGACAGGTCACGACGATTTAGTGGTACTACTAGGGAACAGCTGTTAGTTTTCCTCTCGATAATAAAGAGGGTTAAATTGAATTTTTCGCCTGTAGATTTGTTCGTTGATGAATGTACTAATTGAACTCTCTTTTTGTCTTCTCTATTTCAGATTCAACTCTCTGACCGAAATTCATCGATTGAATCAAACGTCGCGTATTTATCATTTTCTTATTTTTCATTTAGGAATTTGCCATCACTAGGTGGGAAAAGCACGATTAGTGGAAAATAGAGAAAACGAAACGAAACAGACTGAAGGTGACGCGGTACTCCTCAGTGTAAAAGTAGCGAAAACAAACCCAAACGAATGAAAAACCGTGTCACCTGTGTAAAGCAAAAATTCTGAAAAGAAAAGTGAATACTCAACACACAAAACCAGTTGCACCAAACAGAACTCATGAAGTAACGCGAGGATCCGGCTCAAAAGTTCTTTCGTTTTTCGGTTGATTTTTAATGTTTTTGATTGGAAGAAGAAAATTGAAGTAAGCAAAATAACCCACTTGGAATAGAGGTCACACCAAACAAGCGACCACCATGGCGGAAGCGGAAGGAGGGTCGGAGCAGGATGATGTTTCGTTCCTGCGGACGGTGAGTAATTGCTATTTGTTCACTGCATTTTCCCGAAATCGAAAAAAAGAAAAAAAATGGAACAACAGTTCGTTGGCGCGAACGAAAAGGGAATTTGTTTACACTAATTCGAGGAAATGAAATTGTAATATAGCGCTACACTTAAATGATGCAGTAAACAATCTGCAGGTCAACATTCCGAGTCGATATTTAAGCTTAACAACCGGAGCAATGAAGTATATTCTACAAAGTAAACATTTAGCTCATTTTTCCCGTAGCCAGCCCAGACAGACGTAAACAATCGTTGTTTTGCAAAAATGTACAACAGACTGATGCAAAATTTGAAATATTCGCTCCACTGTGCTCAAACGGTTCAAAATCAGGTTCTGATCATACTCCCAATATTTGAAATCATTCAGTTAAAAACTGCCTGTGCACAAAACCATTTGAAGTTTATATGGGAAAACAAAGTTAACAAAGTAAAAAAAAATCCATATGGATCTACAAAAAATATATATCTGTACTTCTATGACATTTTCTCAGCTGAGCAGCTCCAGGCAAAATAGCAAAAATAAAATTAATGTTTGACTCGACTTTGTCTGATTTCCATAAAACTTTGGATAATTTTTTGCTATGGGCAATCATTCAGATTTGTTTAAAATTTTACCATTTTGAATTTTTTTTTAATGAGGCATTTGACCTTTTCTAATAAATCGTAGTATCATTTCTAATCGAAATGTCGTCTGAGACAAAGTTATTGGGAAAGTTAATTCGTTCTAGGAAAATATACACGGTTAATTTTATTAATCAATGTTTAGTTCAATGTTTTTCAGAGTTGTTTGGAAATGCTATTTAACATGAAGCTTTAGTGTGATAATTTATTATCTAGAGAATGGTCTTTAGAAGAGGGTAGGTAGATATTTTCGTTAGAGTACGGCAATATGAAAACTGAAAAGTAGTTGAAAATGAGCGAGGGGCCACCTTTTGCCTAACCCGTACGATGTAAGCGAAGATTTGAAGTATGTCTTCAAATCTACAGGCATAAAGTCTGCGCCCGCCTTTGTTCATTACTGTCTGCGGCTGAGGAATAGTTCTAGAGCCGTTTCATCACTACCTAAATCCCCAAATTATCACACTAATGCTTCATGTTAGATAGCATTTCCAACAACCCCAATTTTTAGTAAAAATTCTAAAAAGTGTTAAAAACGTATACAAGTTAAAATCTACTTATTCAACACATATACAATTTTTATTTTTAAAACTAATTAAAAATACAAGCTTTTGAAATACTGTGGAACCGCTTAAGCACTGTGGAGCAAAAATTTAAATTTTTGCATCAGTCTATTGTACAATACATACGGTCAACATAAACCTACATACGAATCAACAACCGACCGATCCGACCCAGCGTTAAGTGAAGGTAGGATTTTATCACATTTGTCGTTTGTTCGGAGCATAGAAGTGCTTCATTTTATCGGCATCATCGACAAATGGATCCGATTTCCCAGCGTTGGCGTTGTTTTCTGCCGGGGGTTGGTAATGGCGTTAAACAATCATGGCGATGCTTATTGTGATGCACACAGTACACATCCACGAAGCGGGTGAATTTTCCGGTATTTGGCTCTGATGGATGGCACTTTGTGGAATTTAAATCTCGTTTGTTTATCTAAATGGGGCCAGAAAGAGACTACCAATTTTGCAGCCAATGTTTTTAGAGCGATTGGTGTAGTTGGTTTTTTTTTTTTTCTTTTGATGGTATGAAACGTCATATGAATAAAAAAAATCGAAAATTTATTAGAATATAGTTTGACACAAATGCCTGCTCTTCCCTTTTGGACTATGCTCAATAAAATATTCAACTATGTCCAAACTAAACTTTATCAATGCGCCATTTTGATTAGCTGACGATTTTATGTTGCACTATTTCGCAACATTAAAAAAATGTGGGTAAGAATAATAAACTAACTACGAAGCCATTAATTTTTGCATGTTTATTTAAAAATGCACGAAATCGCATTTTTGCATTTTTTTTTTAAATGGTTTGATAACTAGCTTTTAGTTAATCATAGGTATTTTTTAGCATTGTTCGCATCAAAATAGGTATTTGATGTCTTTGGCATTATTAATTTCTCAATGTTATGAAAAGCACAACTTTGCCCAAGTCTTCGGCAGCAGTGTCGTATGACAGAGCCTGTCATATGACATTTTAGTTTGCTATTGTAGTTTGATGGCTTGTTTTGCAAGTGTCGGAAGCAAAGGCAGTCGATTATCACAGAAAATATTTCAACTACGGTGACCATTTACAAAACTGGTTGAGCAATTTTGTCACCTAGTGTGTTCGTTAAAGTTTCTTGTTTTGATATTTTCTAAAATTTTGATACCTGAATCTGAAACTTTATAAAAACATATTTTGAATCTCACTTCTAGGGGGTTTAATCATCTGTCAATGTAAAAAAAAAAGAATTTTTCATATCCAGCACCTTTCCCGAAAACACCACTTATCTAACATGTAAGATTCACGAGTTTGTTATTTTTGACCGTCTTTTGGCAGTTCTGGACCACTGTGCAGCGAAAGTACTTTGTTGTCTTTCTGCAGTAGTTCAATGTTATGCGTGTCATTTCTTTTATTGTGCGCATTCCACTTTTATTGATGAAAAGTTATTAATATTTTTCCACAATTCACCTAGCTAGTAACAGCAGTGATGCAAAATATCATGACACTGACTCGACACTCGTCAACGCATCAACTGACTATCGCTGACGGAACGTTTTGTCACGTACGGTGCTGCGAGCTGTCAACAATTTCAATTGACGTAAGCACTGAATTTCACTTCCGACACTGATATTCGTAGTAGGCATGATATCAGGCGGGTACGGCTTTGATATTACTATCCATTTGAGTATCACTAGGGAAAAGTTGAAAATATCACTTTTATCTCAATAAATCAACTTTTTTGTATAACCGTTGCATTATTTTGATATAACTGATGAGTTTTCTAAATATTGATACTCGATTAGCTGGCGTATATAAGAAACATTAAAGGTAGAGCTTTTCATATCAGTGGTCCCTTCTACGATGTCAGTGTCATTTGCGCACTGACATTGAGGCGAATTTTATTGATATTCTAAGTGTCTGAGCTGATCCTGGCATCAGGTGGCTAGTGAAATTCAGCATTTTGTAGGTATTGATATTGATATTTTGCAGCACTGGTCACGCAGTGAGAGGTAGTAGCCATGGCAAACAACAATCACCAATAATGGTCGCTGCTCACAGGCAAAACGTAACACTCGCTGCTGATGATGAAAAGCACAACGAAAACAGTTAAGACCAGAGCTTAAAATTATTGAATGCCTAGGCTGAGTGTGAAAGCACTGCACTATTCAATCCATTGCTCTGTGCAGACCGTTTGTACCAAATGGTAAAGGACGAGGCAATGAAAGAGCCAACAAAAACATTCAGTCACTCACGAGCAGGCGACGCACACCACTTGCATTCACTCACACAGCATGTAATTGAGTCATTTTTCCATAAAAAAAATACACGCTCAGTCATTCAAAACAAATATTGGGTACCATCACGGCAGAATAAACGTTTTGACTGAGCTACTGACTGAGTGCTCGGCTGTCAGTAACTCGTTTACCTCTGAATCATTCAGACTCTCACGAGGCAGTGAATGATGAGGCAGATGGCAGTTCATATTCATATCAAAGTGACTCAATGACCCTGACTGTTTTGCGCACTGGTTAAGACTTCTGCATTACGATGATGAGAAAAAGGGAAACGACAGAAGCAAATGAAAACAATGCCTACGCATTCCAAGTTTGTCTCGGCAGGCGCGACTGTGTGAGTTACAAAACAATGCTGGCAAAATTAAACGAAAGCTGTTGGGCTCACTCACCACCACACTCACATAAGCAAACACAGCAGCAACTGCTTCAAAACGAGCACAGATGAGTGTAATGATTGTCGAGAATAACCAGATTGGTGATTAGTCGCCACCGCTGACGACATTCACTAGTTGCTTTATACTTCTTTCGTCAACTTGATGGATGATCATGGAGAGTGCTTCGACAAGCACATTGATAGGAATGTACCAAAATACATCAGTTATACTTGGTCAGAACTTGCTCGTACAGCTTTCTTGAACGCTTTTTGGCAACCAGGTTTTGTTTCAGCGTCCTTTTGGGATGTTTGCTGGCATGGTACGACCGGAAACCTGCTCGCATACAGATTCGCCGAACTGTACTGTGTGGCGCACTGAACCTTTTCGCCAAATCACGACTGGAGATCCTAGGATTCTTTTGGAATGCCCTTATGACCTTCACTCGTAGTTTTCGGTCATATGTTCTACTTCTACGTTTGTTTTGTTTTGCACGATCCAACGTTAGTGTTTCCCGGTAACGTTTAAGCACGGTATTTATAGTCGATTCTGGAAATTTGAGAGTCTTTGCAATCATTCCTAATGACTACGTTGGATTTTGCACGTGAGTGTGCAGAATTTTTTCACGTCTGTCACGTTCCATCTTCGATAACTTTTGAACAAGCATATGAATCCTGATGAATTTTCCCTACTAAATAAAAAATCCTTCCGGATCAAAACGCTGTGAATAGTTTCTTGCTACGATAACTAGAGGCGCTACAGTAATTAAAAAGAAGCGGCCAAATACTTGATATTATCAGACCCCCCCCCCCCACTCTTTGGAATTTATAGAGACAGATAACAGCGCCAATAGGTATGTGACGATACAACGTTGAACTGCAGCGTTGAAAGAAAACACGCACACCAACATCTATGCATGTACGAACGCACACCACTGAGCGGAGGGTACAGTGCAAATCAAAACACGAAGCGGTGTCATCACACTCATCGTCATCACTCAGCTCTGGCAGCTTCAGTTTGCGATTTCGGTGGCGTTGACAAATACCTTCTTTATAAAATAGGAAATTAATCATTATTCCAACGTAATTTTTGAATAGAATGCGTGCAACGTTGGCCAAGGAAGACGGCATATTTTATTAC